AGCCGAGGAAGTTCAAGCCAAAGCACTTGAATAATCAAACACATTGCAAGCGAACACTTGAAGATATCAGATCAAATGAGCATGGGTAATGATACACGATAGCTTGTAATTACCTAATGGAAGATAACGCAACTTGGATATTCCTCATGACAAAACAGTCTACACTTCCTATGCGATGCTTTTGTACCCTCGGCCTTGAAGTGCATTAGTGACGATGAGACGAGCACCTGCTCGGTCCATTTTCATTTCCATTACTCTATGAACTCGGGTATAAAAGGAATCTAACTTCAACATGAAAAGGCTACATAATTCAAGGATCTCTCACAATCAATATTGAATATTTAACTATCTTGTTTTCTGACTTTGGCATCAGAACACTCTCCCGGGTTAGAAGCTTGGTAGACGTCTAACGATTTGTTTGTCTCTTAGGTTCGGATTATCAAGAACCAAATATCATTACACTAACTTCTTATACCCAACCCACTATAAATTTGAGAAAGAACACAATACACACCAAATGACTTAGGATGCATCCCTATTGAGCGTCCGTGAAAATTCTTGAGCATCACCAACATGGTGAATCTTTCATGGTGATGTTCTATCTTGTGCAAGTATGAAGCAACATCCCTTTAGCATGGCGCAACTTCCTTCTAAGTGGCACAACTTCCTTCCAAGGTGGTACAACATATTCCAAGTTGGCACAACTTCTTCCACTTTGGCGTAATATCTACTAGAGTGGTGTAACATGGTCCAAAGTGGCACAACATGTATGCCAATGGAGGAACATGCTTGCCTAACGGAGCAACATGCTTGCGACTTAACCCAACACTCAATCAAATGAGACAAGTTGCTCCATTCCACTCCCAAGTGCTCCAACCTATTATAGACGTTCCATAACACATTTTAGACGATCCGTTCCTTTGGCACTTGATAGGTTACTTCATTAGATTGTTTATTCACTTCTCATATGATCCATTACTTTGTTGCATGCTCCATGAACCCCAAGTGCTCCATTGAGTTCCAAGTTCTCCATTAAACTCAAATGCTCCAGATGCTCAAGTCACATTTAACAATCTCCACCTTGACTTGATCATCCTCTAAACTTCACCTTAAACAATAACTTCCTATCCCTTCGTGCCATCAAGCCCCGAAAGGGCTAACCACATGTGAACATCAACCAAGTCTAAGAAAATCTTGAACTTCTCTCTGGGCAATGTGCTTGTCAGCATGTATTCTAGATTCTCCGTGACACCGGTCTTTTGAATGCAAAACCTGTCATAGAAAATCATAGGATTCTCCACCTTTACAAGAAGACTCTGAACAAGACCAACCGCCAATGATCTTCTTGTCTCTAAATCACTTTCATGGTCTGATTTTATCAATAAAACCAGGTCTGTATTCCGTGCATTAGCACCATACACCAGAAAAACATCAAACGTTCCCTTCAATTTTCACAAGATCCACTTGACCACTTCCCAAGGAGCTTTCTCCCGATTGTCTCGAACTACCAAATAAGTACCAACACGTTTGGATTGATCAAGATAGAACGACCGCAAGTCTTTATCAATGTAGTGAGAAATGTATAACCATCCTGCTCTTCTATCACGCTAAATCTCCATTCGTGTTATCTTCTTTCCAATTCCTAGATCGTTCTTCACAAGCTCATTCTCCATAAGATTATCCAGGTTGTCTTTCCTGGCATTAGCATCACTTTACACTTCTTCCCTAGGTTGTTCAAGGGATTCCTCACGTCCATGATGTTCCATGCCACCTTGCTATTTCTCATTTATCACAAAATTTTGTGGAGTTTCTATTTTTAAATCCACCTTCTGGCTAGCACCTTGATCGTTCGAAGCAACACTTGTACCACCTCATCTCTGGTTACACATAGCAAACTCAAAAGTCACATATCCGCTAATAACGAATTTTAGAGTCTTTCCTTCTTCTGTACACCATATATAATGACCTATCTCTCCAAATGCATATCCTCAAAGTATACAACTCATTTCCCTTGACTATAGTTTACCCTCATTCACATGAGCGTCAGCAGGGCATCCAAACATTCGTAAACCAAAATACTTTGACGGTTTCCAGACCATACCTCTTGAGGAGTCTTATAATCAGTTACAGTTGGCAAAGTTCTATTCACCAGATAGCAAGCAGTGTTGATTGCTTCCGCCCAGAATTGCTCCGATACATTAGTAGATAATCGCATGCACTGAGCATGCTCCACCAGTGTTAGGTTCATCTGTTCTACCAATCTACTTTGTTGTGGTGTTAGCTGTACAGTGTGATGCCTCATGGTATCTTCTGTTTTGTAGAAGTTATCAAGAAGCCTTGTAGAACTCCAACCCATTTTCTGTTGTTCCGAGTGATCTGACATGATTCTCGGTCTATCTTTCAATCATAGTATTCCACTCCTTCAACTGCCCAAACAATTTACCTTTATCCTTTGTCTTCAAAAAGTACACCCAGGTCTTCCTTGAGTAATCATCAATAAAAGTCACAAAGTATTGACATCCACCATGAGACTTCACAGGATAGAGACCTAATGGATCTAAGTGAACACACTCGAGGATCTCCTTGCTTGAATGTTGAACTGATCTGAACTTCACCTTGCATTGTATCTCTTGAAAACAAGCTTCACTAAGTTTAGCAATTCCAGTTACATTTACACCAAACTACCACTTCTCATTCACATGTCCCAACTTATGATGTCATTGTTGGATAAGGTGTCTAAGTCCATAACTTATTTGGTATATACTTGACCCGACCCGGCATGGTCCATTTGGGTTGCACTTCACCCAAACTAGTTATGGATAATTTTATGAGAGTTGTATACTTACGATTTATTAATATATTATAAGTTATAATATATTAATATAAAGTCATGTTACTTAATTAGTTTTAATCTTGAATTAATTATGAATTAATTTAGTGATTAAAAGGAAGACTAATTAAATCATGGGCTATTATATTTATTTTGGTGTGGGCTAACACTCATTTGGGAATGGGCTAAGCTTATATGGAAGTCCATGGATGATCCATGGAGCTTTTACCCATGGATCCTTGGAAGAGGAAAAGACATGGGTTATTAGGGTTTCACCCTAACCATGTACACTATATAAACAAGCTTATGTTGCATGAAAAAGACACTAATGTGTGTGTAAGTGTGGTGGCCAAAATCAAGAGTTAGTATACTCTCTCATACATTTTTCCAAGTTTGTGGTGATTTGTGATTTCCATTTGAGGCATTCACATTATTGGTGCTTGGCTCTCAAACTCCAAGGAATCAACAATCAACAAAAGGTATGTAATTCATCTAGTTCTTTTATGGTTAAAAGTACCCCATGCCATGCTAGATAGGTTATAAACCTTGGAAAATAATATTTTGCATGTATCTTAGACAAACATAGATCCAAGGTTTAATAGGGTTGCATGTACACTTAGGAAGTGTTAGAATGCTCAAAACCCAACAGTGGTATCAGAGCCTAGGCTTGTTTGTTTGATACTTGATGCAAAATAGTGAAAAAGTCGAATTTTTTGCTGTCTGACTGATGAACTCGCCGAGTCCATGGGGGGACTCGCCGAGTTCATGAGTAAACTCTTCCTACTCGGCGAGTAGGATTGTGCACTCGGCGAGTAGGAGCCTCAGAATGCAGATTTTCGACTTTTGCTGCTGGAAATGGACTAGAAACATTACCCTAAACTGTTTTGGTGTTTTAAAACTTGTTTTAGTTGGTGTAATGGTTGTTCTAATCCATTTACAATAGCTTATATCAAAATTTCATGCTTTGTATGTGTTCATATAATTCTTGAAACTTTGATGATCATGTTCATGTTCTTATGAATTTAGAAGATGATAGGAATTATTTGCTGAATTGTTTAGGATTAATTCTTGATCATTTATGTGTTTTAATGGAGTCCATAATTTGTCCTCAAGTTATGGATATCCAAAGGTCACTTCTTTTAAACACACACTTAAAACACATAAGTTACATGGAAATGAAGAGTCTTCATTTTTATGAACCTTTAATTCATAAGTTATGAAATGAAAAGTTTTGAATAGTTTCAAAACTTGTCCTCAAGTTTTGGAATTTGTAAAGTTACACACACTTTAATATACTTTAATTCCAAACCCTTAGAGTTTTAAAAGTTAAAATTCAACCCTTATACTATTTATAACATTAATGGTTAATTATTATATATATGTATAAGATCAAAGTCGTCTTACCGCTAGTACGCCTCATTCACGAAGCCAGTCTATAAGGTGGGTATAAGGTTGTTGCCTATAAAATGGCAACTTAATGGGTGTCCACTCTCACCCACCGCTTGCTTGACTGGTGGAGGGTCGTTAGCCGAACGGGTAGGACAAGGACTTATAAATTCTCATTAAAAGTATGATGAATATTATAAAGTAACTAAACCTTTTATAAATTCCCAATCTTAGTTACTTTAGGAAAATGTGAATATGGTGCTAACCCATGAAATTCACACTTTGTACCTTACCAAGTCGTTGGTGGAGCGTGTGTGGTTAACCGGCACACTAACTTGGACTAGTAAGGATCACGAAGGGTGACTTAATGTTTATCATAGATCGGTGGAGCGTGTGTGGTTAACCGGCACATTGATTAGGTGATAATATTAAGGGTACCAAGTGAATTTGCATGGTTATTCACACCTTGTTTTGTGATCCTCGGCATCCCAGTCACAAAACTTGAAGGGCACAATCGAGATTGAAACATGCCATTGAAAAGTTCAATGAATCTCAAAAGAATCTAGGAATTTCAAAAACCAATTAAACCTAATAATTCATTTCGTTTTCATGGTGGAAATTGGTGAATCGTCATTCACCTACCTTCAAATATATTATAGCTTAGATTACGGCATCCCTCTTCTAAGTTATAATATATTGTGTTGGATCCTAGCCTTAATATTACATTTGGGTGTATTATTAAGGATTCGATATATCTAATCTAAACTTGTTTTCTTCTTTTCAGATGTCTTCCAACAACAAAGCTTCGGGCTCTAACCCTACTGGCTCCTTTTCCCTCATGAACCTTTGTGGGAGGGTCATCTTTGATGGTTCCAACTTCATGGATTGGATCCGGAACATCAGGATGGTTACTCGTTACGAGGACAAGGAATATGTCCTCGATAAGGAGCTAAAGGAGCTTGATGAGTCCACTGCTACTCCTGAGGAGGTCGCTGAGTATCAGGCACATGAAAGAGATGCCACCAAGGTGGCATGCATCATGATGGCCACCATGACAGCTGAACTCCAAAAGTCCTATGAGGACTATTACCCTTTTGAGATGCATCAGGATCTGATGGAAAGGTACCATCAGAGTGCTCGTCAAGAGCGGTATGAAATAATCTCCTCCATGATCACTACCCGTATGAAGGATAGCGAACCAATCACGAGCCACATGCAGAAAATGCAAAGGTATGTGGACCGTCTAATGAAACTGAATGTGAACTTCCCTGAGGAGTTGGCAATTGATATCATTTTGCACTCCTTGCCATCGTGTTATGATCAATTTCGTATGACATACCACATGAACAAGGAGGAAGTCACACTCAGTAAGCTTCAAGGACTTCTGAAGACTGCCGAAAGTGGTCTTAAGAGTAAGTCGGTTGCTACTCCTACTCCTACTACTACCCCTGTTTTGGCTATCGGGCAAGGCAAAGGGAAGAAGAGGAAGCACCCTTCGAAGGGTACCAAGGGAAAGTCCCTTGAAGGCTCCTCATCTGGAACCAAAGGTGGTTCTATCACTCCTTCTGCCATCCCTAAGGATGCTGAATGCTTCTACTGTCAAAATAAGGGGCACTGGAAGCGAAACTGCCCAAAGTACTTGCAGGATGTCAAGGATGGGAAAGTGAAACCATCCCATGCAGGTATTTACACTATATTGTCTAATAACTCACCATATTCTAATTCTTGGGTTCTTGATACAGGTTGTGGTATTCACATCTGTTGTGACTTGCAGGGCCTAAGAAGAAGTGAGGATGTGGAGCACGGAAAGATAAACTTAATCATGGGGAACAAGAAGGTTGCACCTGTTACCAAGATTGGAGTTTATACTTTGTTGCTAGATAGTGGGTTAAAGTTAGATTTGAATAAATGTGTGTACTCGTCTGAAATGGCGAGGAATATTATTTCCTTTCATGCTTTGTACAAACAAGGTTTTACCTTTTCTTTTGATAATGAAGTTGGTAGTATTAATGCTTTCTTTAATAATGTTCTTTATTTTAAAGCATTACCTTGTGATGGTGTGTATGAAGCTGTATCGGTTGTAGATAATTTAGGAAATAATGTATTATGTATTGATTCTTCTACTAGCTTGGATAAAGCATCTTTGTGGCATTGTCGTCTTGGACATGTAAGCAAGAAACGCATAGGCCAGCTCCAAAAGGATGGAGTCTTGGAGTCGTTCGACCTCAAGTCGGATGATAGTTGTGAGTCTTGTCTACTTGGAAAAATGACAAAATCACCCTTCACTGGTACTTGTGCAAGGGGTGAGGGTTTGTTGGACCTTATACATACTGATGTATGTGGACCATTCAAAACCGCCACAAGGGATGCTAATCGCTATTATGTGACTTTTATTGATGATTTTAGTAGATATGGTTATGTCTACTTAATCAAACATAAGTCAGAAACTTTTGAAAGGTTTAAAGAGTTTAAACAGGAAGTAGAAAATCAATTGGGCAGGAACATTAAGATGCTTCGATCCGATCGAGGTGGTGAGTATCTTAGTACTGAGTTCCTCGACTATCTTAAGGAGTGTGGGATTGTCTCACAATTGACACCTCCCAGGACACCACAGCTGAATGGTGTAGCTGAGAGGCGCAATCGAACTTTGTTGGACATGGTTCGCTCTATGATGAGTCGAGCTTCGCTACCAATCTCTTTTTGGGGGTATGCCTTAGAGACTGCCGCCCACATCCTTAATCTAGTCCCTACAAAGAAGGTTGCCAAAACACCTCATGAAATGTGGACTGGGAAAGTTCCCAATTTGGACCATATCAAGATTTGGGGTTGCGAGGCTTTCGTGAGGCGCGAAACTCATGACAAGCTCGAACCTCGAAGTGAAAGGTGTATTTTCATCGGCTACCCACAAAAATCCTTTGGTTACCTCTTCTACAGACCCAGTGAGAATGTGGTCTTTGTGGCTAGGAGAGGGGTCTTTCGAGAGAGAGAATTTATAAACCAAGGAGACAGTGGGAGGCAAATTGACCTTGAAGAAATTCAAGACTCAATTGGTGAAGGAACCTCAGACACTAGCAATCAACTTGAGGAGGAAATTCCTGTTGATCCAGCTGACGAGTCTATACTTCCGAGGCGTTCCACAAGGGTTAGGAACACACCTGAGTTTTATTATGGATTTCATATTACTACGGAAGGTGATACATTTATCAGTGACAGTACACTGGTAAATCTGGATGAACCTAACAGTGTTAAGGAAGCCATGGCAGGCCCAGAGTCTGCTAAATGGAAGGAGGCTATGGACAGCGAGATACAGTCCATGTATGACAATCAAGTTTGGAACTTGGTTGACAATGTACCAGGCCGTAAGACAGTCGGGTGCAAATGGATCTTCAAGAAGAAGACCGACATGGATGGGAAGGTGCACACTTATAAGGCTCGACTGGTTGCGAAGGGGTTTACTCAGACTCAGGGTATTGATTATGATGAAACCTTTTCACCAGTAGCAAAGATTAAGTCTATTAGGGTTATGCTAGCCATTGCTGCATTTCATGATTATGAGATATGGCAAATGGATGTCAAAACTGCTTTCCTTAACGGAAAGTTGGCTGAGGATGTTTACATGAATCAGCCAGAAGGTTTTGTCAGTGCAGAGTACCCCAATAGAGTGTGCAAGCTTGAGAAATCCATTTATGGATTGAAACAAGCATCTCGAAGTTGGAATCTTTGTTTCGATGAGAAGGTCAAAGAGTTTGGTTTCTCAAGAAGTGAAGATGAGTCCTGCGTGTATGTCAGAGCTAGTGGGAGTATAGTTAGCTTTTTGGTACTGTATGTGGATGACATACTACTCATAGGAAATGACATCCCAACCTTGCAGGAGGTTAAGTCCTGGCTTGGGAAGTGCTTTGCTATGAAGGACCTTGGAGAAGCTACCTATATCCTAGGGATAAGGATATTAAGAGAAAGGAGTAAAAGTCAGAGTATCTACTTGGATAAGGTGTTGAAAAGGTTCAACATGCAGAATTCCAAGAAAGGAGAAATACTGATCCAAAGCAATGCCAAACTGAGCAAGGCTCAGAGCCCGAGTACAGAAGATGAGATAGCTGAGATGAGTCGATTACCTTATGCTTCCGCTGTTGGTTCGATCATGTATGCTATGACTTGTACCCGTCCTGATGTGGCCTTCGCTTTGAGCATGGTCAGCAGATATCAGGGGAACCCTGGCAAGGCTCATTGGACTGCGGTAAAGAATATTCTCAAGTACCTGCGGAGGACTAAGGATTGGATCCTTACCCTTGGTGGGAGTGATGACTTGAGAGTAGTAGGGTATAGTGATGCTAGCTTTCAGACTGATAGGGATAACTTCCGCTCTCAGTCGGGCTGGGTCTTTACCTTAAATGGAGGGGCAATCACTTGGAAGAGTTCCAAACAGGAGACTGTAGCTGATTCGACTTGTGAATCAGAGTACATAGCAGCGAGTGAAGCGGCAAAGGAGGCGATATGGCTGAGGAACTTCATCGGAGACCTTGGAGTTGTACCAGCTATTAAGGAGCCTATGGAGATTTTCTGTGACAGCAATAGTGCGGTTGCCTTAGCCAAGGAACCAAGAGATCATGGCAGATCCCGACACATTGACAGAAAATATCACTTCATAAGACACAAGATAGAAGAGGGACTCCTCGTGGCAAAGAGGGTATCGTCAGATGAGAACCCTGCGGATCCCCTTACGAAGGGACTGACGAGGGTGAAGCATTTGCAGCATGCGAGGCGCATCGGGCTGAGGGACGATATTAGTTTTACAGATTAGATAGCCTTTTCTGAAACTTGTAAAATGTAATCGACGTTTGATGATGAATAAAATTTGTGATTTATTTATGAGTAAAGTGTTGCTATCATTGTCAATTATTTACTATTGTTTCAGTTTTGCATGTTTTGACTTCCAGAATAATTAATTTATTCAAACTCTCCACAGTCGGTCATATGTCGGAAGTAGGTATGAATCAAGACTGTCATGAATTGGGATTGTAGATGACTAAAGGTGTTTAGCCATAGCAATGGTTGCTACAACATTCATGAGTACTCATAAGTTATGAGTATTGGAATAAACCCACGCTCACTTGTATCACTTCATGGAATTTATCTCGAGTGATCGTGAGACGGTAATATCATATAAGTCTTCAAACCTAGAGATATGAGTTGTTACCTATGAGTTGGTTGTGCATTGATTGCACGTAAACGCATCAGTAACTTGATGTTATAAAACGTGCCTTTGTGTGCAATTCAATAAGTAGTAGAACAAGCATATGAGTCGAAGTTTATCTGTTCCTTCTAGAAATAGAAGCGATATCTGGGCCCCTCGATGATTTTGTGTTGACCCATGTACCGGGCCCGGTCAGAACTAAATTGATGTGTTCAGTTAAGTTCTTTGTCAAACAAATCGGAAATCGAGAAACAACTGCTAGACAATAAGTAAGACATTGTTCCATGTATTTGTCCGGCTGATATCATGAGAGCAGAGGATTATATGATCACTTATCTAAAATGGCGCTTCATAGTTCACAAGAGTTTTCGAGAGCTACGATTGCCGGTTGGTTCCTGAAGTAATATAGGCAAATACAGTTATTAGACTTATCCAAGTGGGAGTTGTTGGATAAGGTGTCTAAGTCCATAACTTATTTGGTATATACTTGACCCGACCCGGCATGGTCCATTTGGGTTGCACTTCACCCAAACTAGTTATGGATAATTTTATGAGAGTTGTATACTTACGATTTATTAATATATTATAAGTTATAATATATTAATATAAAGTCATGTTACTTAATTAGTTTTAATCTTGAATTAATTATGAATTAATTTAGTGATTAAAAGGAAGACTAATTAAATCATGGGCTATTATATTTATATGGTGTGGGCTAACACTCATTTAGGAATGGGCTAAGCTTATATGGAAGTCCATGGATGATCCATGGAGCTTTTACCCATGGATCCTTGGAAGAGGAAAAGACATGGGTTATTAGGGTTTCACCCTAACCATGTACACTATATAAACAAGCTTATGTTGCATGAAAAAGACATTAATGTGTGTGTAAGTGTGGTGGCCAAAATCAAGAGTTAGTATACTCTCTCATACATTTTTTCCAAGTTTGTGGTGATTTGTGATTTCCATTTGAGGCATTCACATTATTGGTGCTTGGCTCTCAAACTCCAAGGAATCAACAATCAACAAAAGGTATGTAATTCATCTAGTTCTTTTATGGTTAAAAGTACCCCATGCCATGCTAGATAGGTTATAAACCTTGGAAAATAATATTTTGCATGTATCTTAGACAAACATAGATCCAAGGTTTAATAGGGTTGCATGTACACTTAGGAAGTGTTAGAATGCTCAAAACCCAACAGTCATAACTTTCTTTCATGATCATACCAATTCAAGAATTGGGATATAGTCATTGTTCCTCTAGCCATAGTGCCTTCCAGGATATAAATCCCTTGGAGACTCTTACCTAGTCAACCTCTGCAGAATAATTCAATCCATCCTTCACCAAAGTGCCAAGAGAAATCAAATTCTTTCGAAGCTCAGGGATGAACCAACAATTCATTTTCCTAACTATACAATCGTGCATCTTAATTTGTACCATTCTCCATCCCTTGATACTGCTCACCCAATCATCAACCATCTTGATTGTGCCATTCCACTCTTTAAAGGATTCAAACGAACCACAGTTGCATGTCATATGATAGGATGCTCCAAAGTCCAAGACCCAAGCATAAGCATAACTAGTTTTACATAGAGTCAAAACTTCACCATCATCCCCTTGATCAGAATTTCCTTGAACCACAACAACATTGTTGTTGCTTGATTCAAAAACATTATTCCCTTTGTTCAGCAATGGACAATCTCTTATGAAGTGCCCCTTTTCCTTGCAGTTATAACATTTGATGTTGGCCTTAGATTCGAAACTTGACTTCCCTCTATTACATCCACCTCTATCCGATGTTCTTCCTCATTATTCAAACAAACCGGAACTGGAAACTTCTTCTCTAACTAAAACTTTTATTTTTCAGTTGCTTGGACATCAAGGAATCCTTCACATCATTCGTAGTGATCGTTGTCCTACCATACAACATGGTATCAATGAAATTCTCATAAAAATTTGGTAGTGAGCATAAGAGGATAAGTGCTTGATCTTCATCTTCAATCGTTACATTCACACCTTTTAAATCCAATATGATCCTATTGAAGTTGTTCGGACGATCTAGCACTTAGGTGCTTTCCAACATCCTAAGAGTATACAAACGTTGCTTCTGATACAACTTGTTCATCAGAGATTTTTTTGGATACTTGTCATACAATTTCAACCAAAGCTCAAATGCACTCGTTTGATCCACGACTCTTTTAGTACATCTTCTGTCAAACTGAACAGAATAGCGC